CTAAAGCCAACAATATTTTTTTTTGTTTGGATAGAATGTGGAAGCGGTCACTGCTCCGGCTTTGGGGATTTAAAGTACAACTAAAGACTCCTGTACGACAGCCTAAACAAGTAACAATTTGAGTTGCCAAGTGATGCAGGGGGAGGGGCTGGATTCCCCTCTCCGATCTGCCAGCGCTGACTGGCGGAACGGACGGGGGAGGGTACAGCTGGCTCTGCCTCTAGAAAGGCAGAGCCAGCTGTCACTCATGCAGCTGGGCGGATCTTGACGTCGATGTCGGGATCCGCTCCGGCGTCTCAGTATACCGCGCGCTGTAGCTCGCGGTATACTGAGCTTAGGGTAACGGGAGGACGCTAGTTTGTGTCCTCCCATTACACTAAGGATAACTATGGGGAAAAACACTGACCCCATAGTTCTCATTTAATGCAAGGCCATGGTTCTCTTTTTGACATGATGACCATTGTCACTAAGACTGAAAGTAAAAGAAAATTCCAAATTTAGAGTTGTTGCCAGAACAGGAAGAGTGTTAAACTTCTCCGATGGGAACACCGATCACAGCAACAACCATTCAAATCACTTTGGAGGGAATGGTTTCCACAAAGCTGGAAGTGAAGAAAAGTCTCCAATGGGGCACATTAAAATAGAACCAATCAACTTCTCTGTCTCATTTTCAAATCTTATCGGAGCTTACTGAAGAAAGATGCTGATTGGTTGCCATTGACAACTGCTTCAGATTCTATTTGCTCCAGTTTTGGTAAATTCCACCCAATGTGTCTTAATTCAACGTTCAGAGTTCCTCAGGAAGCTGCACCAAGGAACTCACACACCGTAATCCATTGTTGGAATACAACACAAAGCGGATTCTCTTGATACCGCACCTTACTCAACTAAAACCTAATAAATCTGAATTTACAAAAAGGTGCATAGCACGATATTTAAAACCTTTTCTACATATCGGTATCTTAGTACCACAATAAATCAATAAGGGGCCAATTTATAAAGGGAATGGATATTGCCATCTGCTCGCCAACAGACACGAGTTTACACCATACTGCTCCCACATTTTTTTATCCGAGCACGGTGTGGGGCCTGCAGTGTGGCAGAGTATGCTCCACAGAACTCCCCCCCCC